GGCAACAGGACCTTAGGGAAATCCAATCACAACCCCCCCCTTTTGCAGGGTCTTTTGTAATCATCGGTGTCAGCCCGTGGACCGCAATTTTGGGGCTGCTGCTGCTGGGCTCAGGCAGGGGCTGGGGGGTCTCAGCTGGTGGGACCCCACGATACTGCCGGGGAAGCGGCACCACCGGGGACTGCCGGCCGGCCGGGGTGGTAGGGCTCCCACTGCTCGCCCCCGTGCTCTGCAGTCCCTGCGCAGGAGGTGCCGCGGGGTCAGGAATCCTTTGGAAATGCCCCCTGAAAACTCAGAGGCTCAGGGACAGGTGTCATGCTGTATCTTTCTGCACAAGACCTGTGGAAATAAAGATATAAAAAGCTGATGATGAGCTGTGCTGATGTCTTCTGTGTGTCTGCTATTGCGCACCGCCAGGGCGGGCTCTTAAGGCTTTTTGTCCATCTCAGATTGCTGAAAATCAAGAAACCTGGGACGTGATATTTTACCTCAGAGGCTGGGAGAATGGGCCTGAAAACTCAGGGGAGCATCTGATGTCTCTCTGCTCACCAGCATGCTGCTGGCGCTTCCTCGGGGAAGCATTTCTAAGGGAGCTTGGGAGCATTTAGGCAGCGGCGCGGCCTCATCTGCTTGCTCAGAGATGGATGGAAGGATCCCCCACGCTGCCGAAATGTCTTCAGGGCACCAGGTTAAATGTGGGAAACGCCTAGAGCAAGAGGGTGATGGAGATCCAGCTTTGCTGCCAAGAGTGAAATCAAGTTTTCATCCCCATCTCAGTTAACCAAAGTTTCCATTTCTAACCCCATTTTTGTTTTGAAAATCCAGCTATCCAAAGGGTTGTGGTTCCTCTGCCCTGGGCCTCCCTCTCTGTCCTGACCGCTGCATAAGCCAGGAACAGTAGGGTTGAAGAGCTTTCAAAAAATTTTTATTTACTCCTTTTATACCAAATTTAAGAGGACAGAAGGGAAAGAACAAAAATAGGAAAAAAAAAAAAAAGCTCCAGAAGGAAGAAATGAAAACTTCCCTGCCTTTGCATAGGTCTGGAGATGCCGGAGAGCAGCAGGGCTGATTTGCAATTACCCATTTCATCTTGACGTGCCCTGGGAACGTTTTATAACTTGTAACAGTGAAAGCACGCTTTTCCCTGAAAACACCCCATCCATCCCTGTTCCTGTTCCCTGCCTGCTGCGGTGTGTGCGGCCCCAGCTGGGGCTCACGCTGCAGGGGCCAGGGGGCACCTGCAGGCAATAAATGCAGGGAGGGTGGGAGGCTGGATCCTCCCTCCAGGACCTGCCCCGGCTGTGGAGGATGCTGAGGGCTGTCCCAGCTCGGGGAGCAGGATCTGGCCAGTAAGGGGGGGGCTGCTGCCAGGGATGGGCGGCATGACTGCTTGGGGGGGCCTGTAGGGGCAGCGCGGTGTTTGGGGATGGAGCAGAGTGGCTGTGCGCAGCAGTGAGCATCTGTGGGTGCTGGTGCATTGCGAGGTTTCTGGCGTTTGGGCTTTGCCTGTCCTGTTGGTGAAGTCCTGCTACTCCCAGATGCTTCTTTGGTGCAGGATGGTGGCTCCGCAGGAGCGGGGCAGCAAGCAGGGCTGGGCTGTCCCTGCAGGGCATGGCTGTGTGCCTTGGTCATCGCCTGCAAACCTCTGCTTACCCTGGGCTTGAGGGTGTGCAGAGCCGTGATGCCCCTTGCTGTGG